ACTTCAAATAAGGATCCTGAAAGAAGTTCTTCGAGAGAAGAATTAAATATATTAAAAATTCAGGGCACCTGACTGACTCAGTCAGTAGAGCCTGTGACTCTTGATCTCAGGGTGGTAAGTTCAAGCCCCACCTTGGGCACAGAGCTTACTTTTAAAAAATAAATAAATAAATAAATAAATATATTAGAAATTCAAAGGAAGAATTCAGAGACCTTGGCTCTGGCTTCACTACCGAATCATTAAGTTATCTAGACATTCTCAGGGCATTATTCTTTCTACTTCAGAGAAATGCTGCAAACAGTGAGACTGCTTATTTCATTCACTGAATGAAACCAATCTAAAAGTAAAAAATGTTTATGTCAATACTGGAAATGACTCTTGGGTTGAAGAAACTCTTGTCTTAACCTTTTGTGAATTGTTATATAATGCTACCCTACAACTCCACATTTAATTTCAAAGTATAATATCTAGTAAAGATACATACAATATGTACTAAAGAAATTAAAGAAATTTTTTTTTAAAGATTTTTTTATTTATTTGAGAGAGAGAATGAGAGATAGAGAGCACGAGAGGGAAGAGGGTCAGAGGGAGAAGCAGACTCCCCGCTGAGCAGGGAGCCCGATGTGGGACTCGATCCCGGGACTCCAGGATCATGACCTGAGCTGAAGGCAGTCGCTTAACCAACTGAGCCACCCAGGCGCCCAAAGAAATTTTTTAAACCAGATACAGGCTTTCTCCATTTTCTTCTATTACCACATGTATTTACAGCTAATGAAACCTCCCAATAAGTAAAATTCTAAGATCTGGCCAAAGAGACTGTCCAGTATTCACCGAATGCTAACGTATAGATCAAAGCTGGGGGAAGGAGCAAAGGGCTGTATTCTAAAAAGATGAGCAATTTGAGTGGTTTTAAAAAAACAAAACAAAAAAATGGTTAAAACCTCTGGGGGCGCCTGGGTGGCTCAGTCGGTTAACCGTATGCCTTGGGCTAGGGTCATGATCCCGGGATCCTGGGATGGAGCCCCAGGTCAGGCTCCCTGCTCAGCAGGGAGTTTGTTTCAACATCTCCCTGTGCCCCCTTGCCACTTGTACACGCACATGCCCTCCTCAAATAAATAAAAATCTTTAAAAAATAAAATAAAAGGTACCTCTGTTTTGAATAGCTCTAACAATCCCATAATAACTGCAGTATCAAACATAGGGTAATTAATTCAGTGGACTTTTCCCCTTTCGCTGCCAGATTGAACAGCTCTGAGGATAATCTCCTTCACTCTCCCAGGGCTCAGTTGGAAGATTCATTATTTATGCCCTCAATTGTTTACTCTGTCCTATTTTCCATCCATCCAGACCCAAGGGCAGTGTTATCACTGGCCTGTTTCCGAAATGAATGTGTTAGTTCACTGCCTTACTAGTTACAAAACCAAAGATAATCAAATACAGTGGTATCCTACAATTGAAGAGTAACCCTACTCACCAGTTGATCCAGGAGAAAGACAATGCTGACCCAATGTTACCAAAAGCTAAATTCTCTTAGATGGATGAAGTGAGATCCATGTCATTCTGTTCCTCCCCGCCCCCCTTGGTGAGCCACCGAGCAACATATATGCAAATCCAACAGGATTCTTAAAGGGCAGTATCATTAGAAAGGCAGCTCTGGCCCTCACCAAGAGCAGACCTGTAAACTATTGGGATTAAACTGATTGAGATGCATTTTGCCTAGCAACCATTCATTAGGAAGAGTTCAGTAACTCACCAGCAATCAATTCCACGTCTTTAGCTGAGCAGATAACAGACCCTACCAAGTCCTCTACCCTCTGGATTCAGACTCACAGGAAACTTCCTCAAAAGATTCAGCTTCCAAGAGTCAACCCCTGGGAGAGGGGGTTGGGTTTAAGCACACACAAAATATTGTCTCAGACACCTGACTGACAAAGCTGAATAGCTTAAAACTACCACCAACCACATCTCCATATGAATGCATTCATTGTCTCTAAATAAGTCTCTCACATAGCAGCATTCCCGGTTCTTTTTGCCTCTAATATTTCCCCATCTTGAGCAAGCTTTTCCCAATTCCAAACCTTACAACACTCAAGCTCATTATTATGAGAATCAACGCCAAGGGTCCCATCTTTTCCTTCACCTTCTCAAGGGGATCATTTTATACTTCTGATGTGAACGGGGGAATGGCTTGAGTCTCCCTTTAGAGAGAACACAGGGCCCTTTTTCTTAACACATTCTAAGCTGTGACTCACAGAAATAATCAGGATGGATAAAAACAGATTGCTAAAGAAAATTAAATCAGCTACTTTAACTTCAGCGGCACCATGTCCCCTCAACCTAAGAGATTATGGGAAGTCATGGCTTCATATAATTGTTTCCTTGCAGAGGACCAAATTTGAGGACTTCCACCCCCCTTTAAATGATATTTGGAGATCAGTGTAGATACACCTATGATTAGTTCTATACATAGCCTTTGTCTCCTGGGGAATATTCTTTGGGGAAATCACTGTACCATGCAAAATATTGATTACACAAATCAGGCAAGAATACAGATATATAAAAAAATTAAGTAAACTTACAAAGCTGTATTAACTGCTTACCCATGGGTAGACAAAAAACCACCTAGGATACCAAGTAGGACAGTAATTTATTTTTTAGCAGAAGCAAGCTGAAGTGATACATGCTTTAATATGGCCTCCAAGTATTTTCTTTTTTTTTGTTGTTACTTCCTCAGCTTGCTATAGCTTAGACATCAAAGTGCATTTTGTTTTATACAGTAGTTAGCTGTCAAAGCTTCAATCAGTGATTTTTAATAGTTTATTCTCAGTAACAAGTTAGGTAAGAAAACATCTAGGGGATCCTCTTAGCCTTTCAATTTAAACATGATTATGGAGTCATAAGGGATAAATGAGTAATAAATAAAACATCTCAAATCCAACACAGTAGTTTACTGTGAATCTACTTTTTTGAACAATTCTCTTTTTTTCTTAAAGACTTTTTCTTTTTAAGTAATCTCTACACCCAATGTAGGGCTTGAACTTACAACTCTGAGGTCAAGAGTCACATACTCTACCGACTAAGACAGCCAGGTGCCCACTTTTTTGTACAATTCTGTAGTAAGGTTACTTGAAATTTAAAAAAAATGGATTCCTGATCCCCAGTAAGTTTCCACAACTGAGATCGTTTCTTATCCTATTACCCTTCTTCTTCATAACAATTGCTTTCACCAAAAACTGCCCTTTATTAGAGATCCAATATATCAATGCAAAGGAAAAACACTGATCCAGTTAAAATTGTAACACAGCTCCAGTACATCAATTCTGTCTTCAAAAGTGAACTCCAGTTAGAACAAACTGTGGAAACTGAACCTGGATTATAAGAATGAACTCTCAATCATTTCAATTAATATTTACCAAAGTGCTGCCAAAAATTGATATTCATCCCATCTGGCATTCTAGCTCTTTGCTAATCAACATTAAGATAAATCTGGTCCAAACACCTTTGGTGAAAACACCCAGTTCTGGGGCGCCTGGGTGGCTCAGTCGGTTGAGCATCTGCCTTTGGCTCAGGTCATGATCCCGGGGTCCTGGGATCGGGCCCCACATCAGGCTCCCTGCTCCTCAGGAAGCCTGCTTCTCCCTCTCCCACTCGCCCTGCTTGTGTTCTCTCTCTCATTGTGTCTCTGACAAATAAATAAATAAATAAATAATCTTTAAAAAAAAATCTCTAAAAAAAAAAAAAGACAGCACCCAGTTAAATTAAGCAAGTTTATCAAGAACACTGCCACTTACCACAGAATGGCAGGCAGACAGACAGACATACCCTTTGTTTCTAACATCACAAAATTTGGGTTCTCTATCTTCAACTGATAACTTTCCTCTCAATTAAAAACTGATTTTGGCTGAAGCTCTGTGTCCTTCAGAAAGAAGGGATCCATAAGTTGTAGAAGCAAAAGAATTCAAAAAAGAGGGGCGCCTGGGTGGCTCAGTTGGTTAAGCGACTGCCTTCGGCTCAGGTCATGGTCCTAGGGTCCTGGGATTGAGCCCCACATCGGGCTCCCTGCTCGGCGGGAAGCCTGCTTCTCCTTCTCCCACTCCCCGTACTTGTGTTCCCTCTCTCTCTGTCTCTCTCTCTCTGTCAATTAAATAAATAAAATCTTTAAAAAAAAAAAAAAGAATTCAAATAAGATAAACATAATTTAAATTGTAATGCTACAGCCACCCAATTTCATAAAGTTCGGGTCAGAAAGGAAACTTTAAAAAATAAACCAATTAAACAAAATTCATCTGGATTTTTTTAAAGTTTGGTCTGGTTTTTTATGACAGAAACTAGCCTCTCTGAGAACCTATGGATGTGAGAAATAAACCTATGGAGAGACAGACAAGACTTTTAGGTTTCAGTTAACAGCAAGGTAAGTTTGCTCACTCTAGCTAGGTTTCTCCAATAGGGCTGAATACTAAACAAAGCCGGTGACAAGGTACTCAGGAAGAGAATTTAGCAGAGTTAATCTCTCACAACTATCAGGATTTCCTTGAACCACCATTTGACAGGGGCTGTTCCCTCTTTCCACTAGCACCTCCTTCCTTTTCAGATTGTTTTTGCTGATTAAGGCAGTCCCAAGTATGAAAATGGTGAAGACAGCCCTAATGGACAGATGCAGTACAGTTCCAAAAACCCACTCCTAGCCTTTTTTTTCTCCCCCCCCCCCCGCGGTTTACCGCATCAGATGCCACACAAGAAAGGGCTCCTCTTTTCTTCTCTGTTCATTTTACTACATATGAGATCGACACATCAGTAAAAAAAGAGATAAGAGTCCTGAATCTCCTTACCCTGCTGCAGGGGCGAGATGATGGGAGGGAAAGAAGAATGAAGGGTAGAATCAGAAAATCAAAATAAACTGATGGGATGTGGAGCTCTTACTTCCCATTCCATTTCCCCTTTTCTAACAAGGTTAAGTCGGCTGAAGTCCGGGTTGCATTAGAAAAAGCACACACACACACCTTGAGCCCTGGAAGGGAGGTGAGGTTCGCTCCGCAGCGCTCGGTGGGGCTCCGGGCTCCGCCCCGCCCGCCTGGGGCAGCTCAACCCTCCTCGCCCCGCCCGGGCAGGAGGGATGAGAAGGGGCTTATAGCGGTCTTGGCAGGGGGAGGGGGAGGCGGCTGCTCTGAGCGCCAGGCTCTCTGAGCACAGCACTCCGCGGTGCGCCGACACCCCCTCCCCCAGCCGGCTGCCGCTTGCTCCCCTTTGCTGCCGGAAGCCAGCCCCGCCCCCTCAACTCCATCCTGGCCCTCTGCAAACCCCCTCCCGTCCGCACAGCCAATGGCAAGCCAGGGAGCCAGCAGAGCGACCCGACAAGCAGCCAACTGGGGAGGCCCACTGGGAGGTCAGCCGCCGGGGATAGGCCAGCTACCCGCGGCCCCGGCCCCTGCGCGGCTCCTCTTTGTTAGAGCTGTCCCCATCTCCCCTGGCTACCACCCCAAAGCCAGGAGCCAAGCATCCCACAGCTGGGCCAGGTAATGCAGTGCTCCTTCTACAGCTCCCCCGCCCACTCTCTCTGCCTGGGTGCTAGGAGTGACCCCCATCCAGGCGATACCTCCGAGAGCGCCTCAGAAAACACAGCAATAGCCACCAGATGACACCCCACAGTTAAAAGAAGCTCTCGGGGCCATTCTGCCTCGCCCTTCTTTCCTCAGACTAATCAACTTCACATAGTGGATAGATACAGGTTTGCATATTACATCAGCTGCACACATCAACCCACCCTGTCTGAAACTCCTGCTTCCTGTGATGCAGAAATTAAGAAGGGAGGGGGCATGTACGGAAGGTATGTATCTGGAAGTTGGTGGGGAAAGAAGGAATACATCAAATAATCTGCAAAACACACACAGTTGGCTCCAACCCAGTTCATATATAAAACATCTATATCCAGGTAAATCCAAGCTAATCACTCCCTTAGCAGGTTTCAGTACAATCAGGAAGCAAAGACCTAAGTCTTGTTTAAGCCATATACCAAATATTGGGAAAAAACTCTTAGCAACAGCCAGGTGGCTAGATAACTGGCAGGTTGCATCAACACTTCAATCACTAATGCCAACGTTAGGGGCATAACACTGCTGGGATGGAATATGCCAAGGACTGTAGACTATTTTCTTAGGTGTACTGGCAGAACAGTGCATGAGGCTCATTTAAGTAAAATACAATGGGGATCAGGGAAGGCAAGCTATTATCTATATTGTCATTTTTGTCCATAGAGTTCTTGCAACTAATGTTAAGTATCTACATCACATTCTACAATCCTCCTTAGTTCCCCCCAAGTAGTACTATAATTTTTTTTTAAGGTTTTATTTATTTGACAGAGACACAGTGAGAGAGGGAACACAAGCAGAGGGAGTGGGAGAGGGAAAAGCAGGCTTCCCACTAAGCAGGGAGCCCGATGTAGGGCTCCATCCCAGAACCCTGGGACCATGATCTGAGCCAAAGGCAGACGCTTAACTGAGCCACCCAGTCGCCCCCGCTTTTTTTAATTTTAATTTTATTTTTTTGCTATTGAAATGCTTCTTTAGGTAGCTTTTTTTTAAAACCTTACATAATCTTTTTTTTTTTAAGATTTTATTTATTTATTTGAGAGAGTGAGCTTGAGAGGGGGGAGGGTCAGAGGGAGAAGCAGACTCCCCGCCGCCAAACAGGGAGCCCGACGCGGGGCGCAGGGCTTGATCCCAGGTCTCCAGGATCATGACCCGGGACTCGATCCCAGGTCTCCAGGATGATGACCTGAGCCAAAGGCAGTCGCCCAACCAACTGAGCCACCCAGGGACCCTACTATACTTTTTAAAAGACAACAAAATACTTGAAATTTAAGTAGCCCTTTCTTATGTGGAGCTCAAACCATTTCATATCTGTAACAGTCTTCTTGTAAGATAGAAAAGGAGCTGTATGGCATGCCCCCTTTAAAGACAGCTCTTCTTTTTTTAAATTTTTTTAAAGATTTTTATTTATCTGATGGGACGCCTGGGTGGCTCAGACGTTAAGCATGTGCCTTCAACTCAGGTCAGGATCCCAGGGTTCTGGGATCGAGCCCCGCATCGGGCTCCCTGCTCAGTGGGAAGCCTGCTTCTCCCTCTCCCCCACCCCCTGCTTGTGTTCCTTCCCTGTGTCTCTCTCTGTCAAATAAAATCTTTAAAAAATAAAAAAGATTTTTATTTATCTGAGAGAGAGAGGGAGTGCATATGCAGCAGGGGAGCAGAAGGGGAGGAGGAAAGGGACAAGTGGGCTCCACTCACCCAGGGCTCAATCCCAGGACACCCACGTCATGACCTGAGCCCAAAAGCAGACACTTAATGCTTAACTGACTGAGCCACCCAAGGGCCCAGAAACTAAAACTTAAATGGTTCCAAGATCATGCATGCCCCAATTAATTTGCCAAGACATCAAAAACAAAGAAACAAACATATCAATCTCACCACTATTATCACAAATGTTCTTAGCAAGAGGATAATTCAGATAAAATTTCTACTATCCTCTTCTAAAATATAAACGAGGAACTCTTAGGGAGTTTCAAATACCTTAACTAAATTAAAATGTCAAATTCACCTTGCCAAAGTATCTATATAGTCCACAGAGGAATTACAACAGTTTAATAAAAGATCACTGGGGAAGCCCAAAACATTTCCTCCTAAAAAATAATTCAAGTCCAATTTCTTTTCATGTCCCTCAAATGTACTCTTTCTGTCTTATTACCATTACCCTAATAGAGACCCTTAACATGTCTGTGGGGTAACTATAACTTCTTTCTAGTCTCCCTCATTCTGCATACCACTGCTTTCAACCATTTGCTCTTCTTAAGAATAAGAACTACAGAAACTGATGCCTGGGTGGCTCAGTCGTCTGCCTTCGGCTTGGGCTGTGATCCCGGAGTCCTGGGATAGAGCCTGCATCAGGCTCCCTGCTTAGCGGGGGTCTGCTTCTCCCTCTCACTCTGTGCTAAGTAAATAAATTTTTAAAAATAAATAAATAAATAACTACAGAAACAGTTAAGTTTATTGTACATTTACTAGGTCCAAGGTCCTATGTCAAGAACTATATATTTTTATTTATTATTTTGTCATAATAAACCTATGAAATAGACATTTTCCCCATTTTTGCAGATGAAGAAACTCAGGTCCAGAGAGGCTGAAGGATCTTCTCTAGGTCACATAGCTGGTAAATGGAAAAGTCAGTATTAGAATTTGAGTCTTCTTGGCTCCAAATCTAATACTCTTATCCACTAAGCTATCTGTGGCTCTCTCTTACTTAGGTCATCCAGCCAAGTTTCCACTCTATAGTTATACATTCCATAATCTAGCACTATCCCATATTACCAAATTTACCTTTCCTCAGCATGTTTTCCCCACACCAAACAAACTAATCTGCTTGCTCACTGTCTGTGTATCATGTTCATCCATTTCTACTTTCATGCCATGACTTGTGCTGTTACAATCATGCGATTTAAATCCTACCCATTCTTCAGGGCGCCTGGGTGGCTCAGTTGGTTAAGCGACTGCCTTCAGCTCAGGTCATGATCCTGGAGTCCCGGGATCCAGTCCCTCATCGGGCTCCCTGCTCAGCAGGAAGTCTGCTTCTCCCTTAGACCAACCCCCCTCTCATGCTCTCTCTCTCTCTCAAATAAGTAAAAAAATCTTTAAATCCTGCCCATTCTTCAAGGCCCAGCTCAAATTCCACCTCCCCTGTAGAGCCTTCTTTGATGCTGTCAGCAATGATTCCTTTTCTGAATTACTACACAGTTTAATACTTATTCTGTTGTCTAATATGTGATTTGTCTTCCTAATTTAGAGTGTAACTCAGAACTTGTGTATTTGCCTTTGTATCTTCTCCCTTCCCAATTATGCACAATAAGGCACACATAGTAAAGTCCTCAATATATATTTAGATCAGTAAACTTTATAGCAAAAGAATGGTCCAAACCACCTAAAAATGACCCAAGTTCTCATAAAAGCCACTAAAGTTGAAATCATTAATAATTCTCTTCATTCATTTTCATGATACAACAATCAAATTCTAACTCTGCCATTACTAAGTACTTATCCACTCTGTGCTTCAACAGTGTCATGGACAAACTGACAGGAGGAGCTTCAAGAGAGCTGGTAGTGGGGCGCCTGGGTGGCTCAGATGGTTAAGCGTCTGCCTTCGGCTCAGGTCATGATCCCAGGGTCCTGGGATCGAGTCCCGCATCGGGCTCCCTGCTCCTTGGGAGCCTGCTTCTCCCTCTGCCTCTCTCTCTCTCTCTCATGAATAAATAAAAATCTTAAAAAAAAAAAAAGAGAGAGAGAGAGCTGGCAGTTTCTTTTTTTTTTTTTAAAGATTTTATTTATTTAATTGAGAGAGAGAGAATGAGAGATAGAGAGCACAAGAGGGAAGAGGGTCAGAGGGAGAAGCAGACTCGGAGCCCGACGTGGGACTCGATCCCAGGACCCTGGGATCATGACCCGAGCCGAAGGCAGTCGCTTAACCAACTGAGCCACCCAGGTGCCCGCTGGTAGTGTTTCTTGATCTGGGAACTAGTTATATAGGTATCAATTTGTGAAAATTCACAGAGCTGTACACTTATGTGCACTTTTCTATATTATATATTTTGTCTCAATAAAAAGCTTTAAAATATCAGATTGTATTATAAAATAATCACATCTGTTTCTAAGCACATATGAGTATTATATGTGTCTGTAGGTCCAAGAAAATATTTGCTGGAAATATGTACACCAATCTGTCAATAGTGGTTACCACTGAGAGGATAAAAGGGCTAAGGGGGAACAAAGGAGAGAACTTTTTTTTTTTATAAAGATTTTTTTTTTAAGATTTTATTTTTTATTTGACAGAGAAAGAGAGAGAGAGCACAAGTAGGCAGAGAGGCAGGCAGAGCAAGAGGGAGAAGCAGGTTCTCGGCCGAGCAGGGAACCCGACACGGGGCTCGATCCCAGGACCCCGGGACCATGACCCAAGCCGAAGGCAGCCACTTAACCAACTGAGCCACCCAGGCACCCCAGAGAACTTTTTAAATATTCGTTTTACTGGATCTTTCAAAAAGTAAACAACATGCATTAATTTTGTAATTTTAGTAGATTAGCTGAGTAGTGGAATTAACAGATTATTTTTTATAGTTTTTAAACTTTTTATGTTGAACGCATCTAACTTTTATAATCAGTAAAAGATATTAAAGTAGAAAACAAGCACACTGC